AGTCATACTTGATACAAATCAGGACATTTCAGAGTCCTCTCCCTATCAGTCAGAAAGGCTTTCATGACACAAGTTCACATTATCTTCATTGTTTTATTATTTTTTTATTTTTATGTATATATGTTTGATTGTCTGAGCCCAGAGTGGGCATCAGATCCCCTGGAGCTGGAGTTACAGGTACTTAGGAGCTGCCTGCTGTGGGTTTTGGGAACTGGACTCTGGTCCTTTGCAAAAGCAGAAAGTGGTCTTGAGGGCACTGAGCCATCTCTGTAGCAAATTCACTGTGGGTTTTGTTTTTAATGTTTTGCTCATTATTGTGATGGATATAGAGTACACTATGTATGGCGGTCAGAGGACAACCTTTGGGAGTCAGCTGTCTCCTTCCTCTGTGGGTGCCACCTTATCGGGGTTGCTTAGCAAGTGCTTGTGCTTTCATGTGTGTGTGTGCATGTGTGTTTTTCCAGTGTGTGTGTGTGTGTGTGAGTGTGAGTGTGTGATGTGCCTGTGAGTGGAGGCCGTCAGAGGTATCACATTGCCCCTGGAGGTACAGACAATTATGAGCTGTCCTGATATGGTGCTGGGAATTAAATTCCAGTCCTCTGCAGGAGCAGTACAGTACATGCTCTTAACAGAACCATCTCTCCACCCTTAAGTAGTACTGTGTTTCAATGAAGGTATTTAATTATGAGGACTAGTAGGTTGTTGTTTTTATAGTTAATGAGGTCATTTTTTCTCACGTCTTGTTTTCCATCAGGTAGTGAAGCCACATACTCCATTAATAAGGTTCCCAGACAGAAGAGACAATCCTAAACTCAGTGGTAAGTTGTATTTAATTTAGGTAGTTTCTAAAATGTGCACATTCATATTTAGAAGTGAATATTATAGACAGTATTTCTCACTTTATAATCAGGTAAGTTGTTGTACTTTAGATCAAAATAGTACCCGAGTAGCATGCAAGTAATTAACTTTTTAAATTTTGGGTTTATTTACTTTTATGTAGGCTCTTACTGTATAACTCTTGCTGACCTGGAACTGGATATTTAGACCAGCCTAGCCTTGAACTCAGCACTTCTATACCACTCAGAGTGCTGGGAATATACATGAACAGCATACATACATATATACACGAGAGAGAGAGGATTGTAATACTTCAAGAAGCCGTGTGTAGTGGTGTGTACCTATAATTTTAGCACTAACAAGATTGAGGATAGCTACAAGCAAATTGAAGAATGACTTATTTCCTAAAGTATTATTTAATGTGTATGTTTTGTCACATGTATGTCTGTGTACCACAGGCATGCTGGTACCTACAAAGGCCAGAAGAGAGTGTCAGATCCTCTGGAAATGAAGTTACAACTTGATCACTTCTGTGGGTGCTGGGAATTAAACCTACGTCCTCTGGAAAAGCCAAGAGTTCTTAACTGCATCTCATAAGCCCCAATAACCTGTTTTAAAGGACGGTTTGATTATTCAGTTAAAAAAAAAAATAACATTTACAGATGGTTGTTGGTTAGTTTTTTGTCTCTTTTGGTTCTTTGCTCTTTGGGGTCCCTCCACACAACTCCCAAATAAATCACACATGGTGGCTTATTCTTTCTTATAAATGCCCAGCCTTAGCTTGGCTTCTTTCTAGCTAGCTTTTCTTAAATTAACCCAACTACCTTTTGCCTCTGGGCTTTTTCCTTTTCTTATTTCTGTGTATCTTTCACTTACTCCATGGCTGGTTGGGTGGCTGGCCCCTGACTTCTTCCTCTCCTTGGGCTCTTGCTCCTCTTATTTATTCTGTCTGCCAGCCCCCCCCCCCCCATCCTTTCTCCTGCCTCACTATTGCCCTTCAGCTCATTATTAGACCATCAGGTGCTTTAGACAGCCAAAGAGCCACAGCTTCACAGAGTTAAACAAATGCAGCATCAACAAAAGCAACACATCTTTACATCGTTAAATAAATGTTCCACAACAGAAACAAAACACACCTTAGAATAATTTTCCACAGCAAAGACACCTGGATAATTTGTCTAATTAGTATTTTTGTTTTTGATTTCAGCCTCAGACGTTTTGAGATCTGCTGGGCTCCCCTCCCACTCTTCTGTAATTTCACAGCATTCTAAAGGAAGCATATCCCCAGATTTGCTGATGCATCCGGGGCCACCAGACACTGCAGAAATACTAAAAACATTACCTCAGAAATACAGAAGGAAACCTATATCTCAAGAAGAAATGGACTTTATCCAGGTGTGTTGTTGCTCTTGAGCCCAAGTGTGTGCAGCGTGTCGTGACATTTTGACTTAGCAGTGGTCATTTGCTGATTGCATGTTCCCTTTGTTTTTTCAAATGGAATTATAGCTAAGGGAGATGAACAGATAGGCCGGGGCTATCTCTATGGGGACCCTCAGTAAGTATGCATGATACATGAGAAAATGACCCAATACGAAGGACTGGGGAATGTTGCTCATTAGTAGAATTCCTGCCTAGCATGTGCCAAAACCGGGGATCAGTCCCAACAAATTCAACCATCTGAAAAAAAAGCTGTTTGAGTGAGGGGCTAATAACTTTCTAAAGAATAAGGGGTTTCTAAGACTATGGAGAAATTTGAGGCTGATGTCATCCATTATCAATCTTTCTTTTTCTCTTTCATTTTCTTTCTTTTTTTTTTTTTTTTTTTTTTAGTCAGGGTTTTTCTGTAGATCAGGCTGGCCTCAAACTCACAGAGACCACCTGCCTCTGCCTCCCATGTGCTGGGATTAGAGTCCACCATTACACCCAGTTTTGTCATCAATACTGAGTCCTTTCTAGATCTGAATTTGTAACATTTACCATAAGTGCTTCCAAACTATGAAAAACCATGAATTTTGTTTTGTTTTTTTTTTTTGAGACAGGGTTTCTCTGTGTACAGCTCTGATTGCCCTGGAACTCTTTGTAGATCAGGCTGACCTTGAACTCACAGAGATCTGCTTGCCTCTTCCTCCTGAGTGTTGTGCTTAAAGGCCTGCACCACCACAGCCTAGCCTTTTTTTTTTTTTTTTTTTATCAGAGGCTGGAGAGATGACTCAGAGGTTAAGAGCACTGACTTCTCTTCCAGAGGTCCCGAGTTTAATTCCCAGCAACCACATGGTGGCTCACAACCATCTTTAATGAGATCTGGAGCCTTCTTCTGGCCTACAGGCATACATGCAGGCAGAATACTATATACATAATACGTAAATTTTTTTAAATTTTATTTTATTGATATTTATTGAGCTCTACATTTTTCTCTGTTCCCCTCCCTGCCTCTCCCCTCCTCCCTTCAGACCTCCCCCAAGGTCCCCATGCTCCCAATTTACTCAGGAGATCTTGTCTTTTTCTACTCCCCATGTAGATTAGATCCATATATGTCTCTCTTAGAGTCCTCATTGTTGTCTAAGTTCCTGGGATTGTGGTTTGTAAGCTGGCTTTCCTTGCTTTATGTTTAAAAACCACCTATGAGTGAGTACATGTGATAATTGTCTCTCTGTGTCTGGGTTACCTCGCTCAAAATAATGTTTTTTAGCTCCATCCATTTTCCTGCAAAATTCAAGCTGTTGTTATTTTTTTCTGCTGTGTAGTACTCCATTGTGTAAATGTACCATATTTTCCTTATCCATTCTTCGATCGAGGGGCATTTAGGTTGTTTCCAGGTTCTGGCTATGACAAACACAAGTAAATATTTTTAAAAAAGAAAAGAAAAGAAAAATCAAAGCTGTCTGGACATGGTAGCTCACAACTGTACTCTCAGCTCTCAGAGGAAAGTGGATTGCCATGTTTTCTTAGAGACCAGTCTGGGCTCTCTAGTGAATTTTTGGCCAGCCTTGTCTCAAAAAACCAGCAACAGCCTGAGATCATTTTTATGTATAAGTATACATGTATAAGCCAGTTCAGTCCTTCGTCTCATGGCTTTCTGCTTCTCTTTTCAGCGTGGAGGTCCAGAATGATCGCTGTGGCTGCTGTTTGTCGCCAGACAAAAGGATTATCTTTACAATAAAGGACTTCCAAAATGTCAAATGAAAATTGTATATTAAGCAACCTTAATAAATATTCTGCGAAAAGAATGAAGTATAGAAACTCTAGATGGCCACTTGTATCTCCTCAATGTATCTTGGTTAGCTTCTCTAACAAGCTGGCCTGCATACCTATTAAAGTCACATTTTTACATATTAGCCTGTCAACTTACTCTTGATTATGAAGTGTTACCAGTGATGAGCTATTAAAAGCACACAGTATCTAGTGAATAATCAAATTTTCTCCTTTCTGTTTGTTTAGCCATAAAGATGATTTACTAAGTAATTCCTGCTGTAAGGAATCTTTTCTCCTGAAATTAGATGAGGAACAGTGAAATATTTCCATTTTTTTAAAAAAAGATTTTTTATTATGTATACAGTGTTCTGTCTGCATGTCAGAGACAGGCAGATCTCAGGGAGTTCGAGGCCACCCTAGTCTACAGAGTGAATTCCAGGACATCCAGAGCTGCTACACAGAGAAACCCTGGTTTTTTTTTGGGGGGGGGAACAGAAAACAAACAAGTGTCTGTATTATCTGTAGGGGGAGCATTTGCAACTGTGAGTGAGTGGAGCCCGGAGCGGGTGTTAACATGAGCATAGCCGTGTCTAGGACTCCAAGGCCTCAGCCCCACAGGAATGGTGAAGCCTGCTTTGGCTAGGCTCCGAGGGACCGAGCATTGGTGTCTATGAGCGAGTGATCGATGTGTGCAAAGATTAGCAGCAGCAGCAGCTTCTTCCTCCTGACGCTCTTCCTGCCTGAGATGCTATTCTACAGAGACCTACCTACTCCCCAGCTCCTCCCCATGTGCTATACCTGATGAACTCAGGTTCCAGGAGAACCCCAGCGTTACTGTACATGTGTCTATGTGTCTGTCACTTCTTCACTATGTCACCATTCCGAGTCAGGGTTCACAGCAATATGAAAAGTTTCTGCACCCCAGTAAGCCTCTTGGCTGACGCAACAATCCAAATCAGACCAAATCAAACTGAATCAGAAAAGGCCTGGGTTTAATGAGTAAAATGCTTCCAGATGATTTGCCAGCCCTCCAGAGAGGAGACAGGGATGAGAGAGGAAAAAACAAACAAAAAACCTTGTCTTCTGGAGGGCAGTTTAAATACCTTGTAGGAGTGGTCTTGAGCATCTCTGGAGTAGGAATTGTGTTTGTGTTTCCTGGGCTTTCAGAATATGGTTTGGGGGGGAGAGAGGTGGGAGAGGAGGATTGAGGTGGCGCTTCCACCAGAACACTCCAGAAGACTCATTGTATGAATTTCCACCTGAACATCCCAGACTCCTTGGGTATAGGGACGCCAGTTCATTCCTGGCTGCTTCCTGTGGGCGTGGGAAGATATAAGGAGGGGAATCAGGAGTCGGTGGGTTGGCTCATACTCAGCAGGACGTGGGGGTGGAGAAGCATCCATTAACTGTTATCCTGGAGACCTCAGGCATCTGTTGCTTGAACAAGCAGAAAAGGCAAGATGCTAGGACAAAAAATAGATTATTAATACCTGCCCTAGTTGTACTGACAAAGTTGAATGAGTGCTCAGGGCAGACGAGTAGATAGGCCCTTCCCTGGGACATCTTGGGAAACTGGAGGGTGGAGGGACATCAAGTATCTGAGTAGGCACTCGCTTGAGCCTGGAGAGATGATACCAGCATGGATGACCCAGGAGCTTGGCATCTGAAGGAGTAGTGAGGATCACAGCATAGGGTCCTGTCCGTCGGGGCTCAACAGACGTAGAAGCTAGTTGTTTGAGGAGTCCTCTGTTCCCTGGGGAAACTGGGGCAGGCTCTGAGGCAGTTGGGTCTGTTGGTGTGGGGGCAGGGAGATACCTGTCTGCCTGGGAATGGAGAAGGAAACTAAGAGGGAAGAGGTAGGGAAGGTATTCAGTCAGTGGAGGAATTTAGGCAGGGAGGTGGTGATTGAGGAGGAAGGAGATCAAAAGGGCTCAGGCCTGTGGGAGGGTGTGGGGTGACCTGGAAGCGGGTAAGAGCAATAGGGAGAAGGGAGGTCCTTGCCTTCACCTTGGAGGTCCCTGACACCCTGTCCTTCAGACAGCTAGCATGGACTGTTCTCCCTTGGGGTTTTCGGGACAGCCCCCATTTCTTTGGCCAAGCCCTGGCTCGGGATTTCTCCACCTTTGACCCTGTCCTAGCACACTCCTGCAATACATAGACCTCCTTATCTGCTGTTCCACCCTGCCTCTGTCCCAACAGGCCACCTCATCGCTCCTCAACTACTGTGGCTCTCTAGGATATTATGTTTCTCTATTTAAGATTCAGCTATGCTCTCCCACTGGGCTTTCAATTCAGCCTGGGGTCTAAGGCCCTCACCTCTGACGGAGTCCAGGCCCTGCAGGATTTATAGCCCCACCACAGTGGTTCAGATGGGCTCTCATTTTTGGGCCTGATGGGATTACTCCGTCACTAGACCCCTAACTTTGCCATTACGGCCAAGTCCTTATACCAGGCAGCCAGAGAGACTCCCAAGGGGGCCCTCAGCCACCCATCCACGGTCTGCCCCACTTCTCTTTACTGAGAGATGCCTTTCTAAGGGCCCCACCCTTGCTCTTCCAACCCCTCTCCACCTTATCACCTTTATACAGATGAAAGGTTAGGAACGGCCTCCGAGGTCCTGGTCCAACTGGTTGAGCCTTCAAACCGGGTCATCACATTTTTGTTCAAAAAACTGGACCCCACCCCCACTGTCGGGAAGCAGCCATGCTTGAGAGCCCTAGCAGCAGTGGCTGAACTCACAGGGGAAGCTCTCAAGATCTCCTTGTTCCAGCCAATTACGGTTCACTCCTCCTGCCAGACAGGTGCCACGACCGATTTGCAGGGGTTCTCCAGATGCCCTTGAAGACAGCCCCAGCACCAGATAGGCTGATTTCACTCACATGCCCTGCCCACCCAAAAGAAACTCCGTTATCTCCTAACTCTGGTCGACACCTTTACAGGATGGATAGAAGCCTTCCCCACCTCCAGGGAAACAGCCGATGTGGTGGCCCAAGTCCTGGACCACATCTTCCCTAGATTTGGCCTGCCCCAGACCTAACAAATGGACAATGGGCCAGCCTTCACTTCCAGGGTCGTGGAGCTCGTGCTGGATGCTCTCAATATTTCCTGGAAGCTCCACTATCACCCACAATCCTCAGGAAAGGTCGAGAGGGCCCAAGGTCTCATCAAACAACAGTTCAGGCTCTCCACTGAACACAGGTTATCTTGCTCCCCCCTTCTTCCTGTTGCCCTTACCCACCTCCCAGCCACTCCTTGCTCTCCTACAGGCCTGAGCCCTTTTGCACTTCCTCTTTAATCACCACCTCCCAACCCAAACTCCTCTATTGGCTGGGTATCTCTGCTTCCTCTCCCTTCTGAAGTTCCTTCTCCACCGTTTACCAGAGCCTGCCCCACTCTTCCTGGGGGACAGAGGACTCCTCAAACAACTAGCTTCTACATCTGTCGAGCCCCGATGGACAGGACCCTGCACTGTGATCCTTACCACCCCTTTAGCTGCCAAACTCCTGGGACATCCATGCTGGGACCATCTCCCAGGCTCAAGTGGGCACCTATTCAGGATACTTGGTCTGTCCAGATTCTTGATGTCCTTCCACCTTCCAGTTTTCCAAGATGTCTCATTGAAGGGCCCATCTACTCTTCTGCCCTGAGCATTCATTCAACTTTGTCAGTACAACTAGGGCAGGTATTAATAATCTATTTTTGCCGGGCATCTTGCCTTTTCTGCTTGCTCAAGCAACAGATGCCTGAGGTCTCCAGGATGACAGTTAATGGATGCTTCTCCACCCCCACGTCCTGCTGAGTATGAGCCCACCGACTCCTGATTCCCCCTCCTCACATCTTCCCATGCCAACAGGAAGCAGCCAGGCATGAACTGGCATCCATATACCCAAGGAGGCTAGGATGTTCAGGTGGAAATTCCACTCCAGGCCCTGGCATTTATATACCCAAAGAGACTGGGATGTTCTACTGGAAGCCCTGCTCCAAGCCCCTGGCATCAATATACTCAAGGAGTCTGGGATGTTTTGGTGGAAGCTCCACCCCAGTTCCTGACATCCCTGTACCCAATGAGTCTGGAATGTTCTGGTGGAAGTGTCACCTCAATCCCTTTCCCCATCTCTTTTTCCCTAGACTCTGCCTCATCTTGCAATGCCCAGTAAACAGGGCCTTTTCCCCAGAGAAGCTCAAGAACACGCCTACAGGGTATTCAAACTGCCCCCCCCCCCCCGCCAGAAAACAGACATGTTTTTTTGGTCTCTCTTTCCTGTCTCCTCTCTAGGGAGCCAGAAAATTATCCGGGGGTGTTTTACCCATTAAACCTGGGCTTTTTCTGATTTGGTTTAATTTGATCTGATTTGGATTACTGTGTCCGTGGAGAGCTTGTCAAGGTACAGAAACTTTTCAGCATAAAGTAAAAATAATGCATAAGATGAATATAGCATAGGAACAAATATTTCACCACTTATTCAAATTTCAAATCGCTACTTACTATGTCTGGGAGGATGTTCATGGTTTGTGACCATGTTCGAAAATCCTGATAATTAACTTTTACTATCTTAGTGGCTGAGAGTCTTAAAATCCAACTTATTTGGCAACCAATGAAACTATAATGGGTTCTCCTGCTAATCTTCCACAGCTGACTAAATCCATAATGATTTCTAGAATATACTTTATAAAGCAGTAGTCCTTAATGTTGACTAGCCCATGGTCAGTGGGCACTAGCGTTGTGTTCTTTCTTTTTTTGTTTGTCTATGGGCTAATCTTTACTTTGTTGTCATTCCAAAGTTGATTTGCTTTTCTTGCAAGTTATGGGCTATGAATGTTGCCCTGATGAGAAATAAGGGTTTATATTTGATGTTAGTAGTAAGCTATTCTGATAACATGAAAAATATTAATTCATCTTTTTCTTTATTCTTTTTTCCTTCTTCTTCTTCTTCTTCTTTTTTTTTTTTTTTTTTTGAGACAGGGTCTTACTATGTAGTTTGGTTGACCTGGAACTCATACATAGATCAGGGTGACTTCAAATGCATACAAATCCCTGCTTCTGCAATGCAATATTGGGATTAAAGGCATGCACTGACATGCCCAGTTCTGTATATTTCGTGGTAAAGCCATAGCTCTATCAGTAGAGTGCTTGTCAGGCGGTCCTGAGGGCCTCAGAACCCAAAAGAAAAGCTGGGAGCAGTTGTGTACCTGTAACCCTTCTAGGCAGGCAGAAAGACAAGTCCCTGGAACTCTCTGACCACCCAAGCTAGATGAGTTAGTGAGCTCTGGGTTTAGTGAGAGGCTGTCTTAGAAACACAGATGTGGAGCTGGAGAGATGGCTCAGAGGTTAAGAGCACAGGCTGCTCTTCCAGAGGTCCTGAGTTCAATTCCCAGCAACCTCATGGTGGTTCACAGCCATCTAGAATGAGATTGGGTGCCCTCTTCTGGCATACAGGAATACATGCAGGCAGAACACTGCATACATAATCAGTAAATGTAATAATAAAAATAATAAAATGGAACAAGATCCCCCGAAAGGTCTCCATGAACCATAAGAATACTTCTATTTTTGATTATGAACACTCTATACATAGTAAATCTTAAAAAAAAATCAGATGTAGTGATTGAAGACGACACTCAACACCGACCTCTAGCTTCTGCATATACACCCTAAATACATGCATACACCACACAAAAACACATAGACGAATTACTTTGGGGCTTGAGATATAGTTCAGTGAGCTCTTGCCAAGCATTCACAAGGCCCTGGACTCCATCCCATGGCTTCAAAACAAAAAGATGGTTTCCTGCAGTCTGTAGGTCTCTTACGTGGACCTACGTGGTGACAAAGGGCTGAGGCAGTAATAGGTAGCTAACCGCTTGCCAGCCATTTGCTTCACCCCTGCAAAGTTATTTAAGCCTTCCAGCAGCATAAGAGTAGATCCTATAATAGAGAAGGAAACTAGGTATAGACAGATAAATTTAAGTCATTCATCTAGTGACTGAGTGCTGGCTGACCAGTATTCAAAAGCAGGCATTCTGGATCCAGAGCCACTACTACACAATACTAGCATCTCAATTATTAGTCTTTGTTCTCTGTTGCTATGTCCACCATGTCTCTAAAAATTAAGATTCCTAATTCTTAGAAACATCAGTTGCAAAGAAAGAGGAAAACATTGCCTTTTTGACAGCTACTCCAGCTAATAACTTAGAGATCAGCCTGTTATGGGATCCTATCGGCTAGGAACCAAAATTTTAGCATCATCCTCGCAAGCCATCTGTTTTACAACAATAGTTCACCAACAAGCCTTCTTAATTTTCCTTGCCCTGTCCAGTCTATAGTGTGGTCTCTTAGCAGTCAGGACAAACTCTTCAAAACATCATCTGGGACCAGAGAGATGAACCAGCGGGACAAAAAGACTCCATCATCAAGCCCGAAGACCTGACCTTCAAATGTGTACGGTGACACCCTCACCATAAATAAAATGGAATAAAATAATCTGATTCTGTTGTTAAAACCCAGTGGATGTTCGGTGACATCTTTCCTGCGCTACTGTATTTAAAGCTGTTTATAGCACGTAGCATCCTGTCTCAGAGTTGACTTTTTCTCCGAGACAAGATCTCACTATGTGGACCTGGATAGTCTGGACCTCATTATCTTTCAGTTTTCCACTATAAGGGAATGTTATGGTCCCTGAGTTTTTTTAGGTCAACGATAATGTTTGGCACATAGAAATCAATACATGTGTTAAATTTTTTAGTTATTTTGAGACAAGGTCTCTTGTATCCCTGGTTAGCCTGGAACGTACTGAGTAGATCAGGCTGGCCTCAAACTCAGAGATCTACCTGTCCCTACCTTCCTAGTGCTGAGATTAAAGGTATGCATGCTATTTAAATGAGTTTTTATTTAGCATAATTTATGTTAACTAACAAGTTGGGTTCTAATAACAACCAAGTTGGTTATGTTGTTGTTGCAGAATCTTGTGATTCATGAATTAGGCAGAATTCATACTAGAATCATAGAACTCCCAGTGACCAACATGGTCTTCTTGTTGTTGTCTATAGTCCAGGTTCTCCTGGAAATTGCAAGCTTCCTGTCTCAGCTTCCAGAGTCCTTGTGTGCCTGCCATGCCTGGCGGAACAGGATGCGTGAGAATGGAACAAAAGAACAAAGAACGGCAGGGAAAAAATCTGACTGGTTAACTGGACTTACTTTCCTTTATTATAAGGTTAAGTTAAAGTTCTTCTTTATGTCACCTAAAACCATTCAGTTTGGGAGATCTGGCTCCTAGTTTCTTGGAAAGTCAGATAAGTGACTTAGTTTCTGCTTAGTATGGAACTTCAGGATGCTTGGGGCTCCGTTTAGTTTGATTTTGTCAACTCTGTAGAAGCTCAATTGGAACGAATGATGTCATCGATTTTATTAACAAAGGTATTAAAGGGCATGGAGATGACTCGGCTCTCAAGAGCATTTGCTGTTCTTCCAGAGGACCCAGGTTCAGTTCTCGGCGCCCACATGGTGGCTCACAGCCATCTGTAACTCCAGTTCCTGGGGATCCAATGCCCTCTCCTGACCTCCATGGGTACTGTGCACCTATGATATACCCAGAAACATGCAGGCAAAACACCCATACACATAAACTAAAAATTAAAAGCAATGGTATTAAAACGTGTGATTCTTGCCTTTGAAGTAATTTCGGCTTCATTTGTTTTCCCGAGAGATAAAAAGCTGAACAGGAAGGGAAAAGGGAGGTGGGGAGGAGGTGGAAATTTTTAATAAATAAATAAATTTTAAAAAAAGACTGCAAAAAGAAAGAAAGAAAGAAAGAAAGAAAGAAAGAAAGAAAGAAAAAGCTGAACAATGTGAAAACAAATTCTTAAATTCATCAGGGAATTGAGGTCTCAGCAAAACCACCCTGCAAACTGGAACGATATGAAGACAAAAATATGACAAACGGAAACCATTGCTGGAGCCAGTTAATTGGCAGATAGATAGGCTTGAAGCGTAATTACTAAATGCACAGCTGACAGTGTTATGTCTAAACGCTCTGTTTCTCTTAATTCATTAGTTTTGATTTTATAGAAGACAATAGACCTGCTCTATAGCATAATGTTCAGCAGGGCTGGGTTTTGCTTCTCTGGGACTGTTTCTTCATAAATCAGCCTTTAAGAATTTGGCTCTCCTTAGAGGGAGGGGTTTGGCGTCCATAGCGACTGAGGCGACAGGACAACAGAAAGTAAAACCGGTG